TTCTCCTGAAAAGCAGCTGGTGGGTTCGAACTGCTGATCTTTCAATTAGTATAATTAAGAGAGAATGTAGATGTGTATGTTGTTGTTGTTATGTGCCGTGGAGTTGGTTCTGACTCATAGCGACCCTGTACAGGGTTTCCGAGGCTGCAAATCTTTACGGAAACAGAAAGCCTCATCTTTCTCCCACAGAACAGCTGGTAGTTTCGAACTGCTGACCCTGAGGTTAGCAGCCCGATTCATAACCGCTATGCTACCAGAGTTCCAGATGTGTATAATATGTACCAAAGTGCACACATCTTTCTTAAGACTTTTAGGTATTTTTAGTTGTGCTCTGTTAGGGACTGAATTCATCCATGGATTGACATCTATACCTATATATGTAATTCAAGTTGGAAATATGATTTTCTTTGTTATATATAATGAAGCCATATCTGTGTAAGTACTAAATGTAATCACTTCCAATTGATAAAAAAGTCTTGATACAGAGACAAGCAAGCATAAATAGGGATGATGGAGGCAGCAGATGGACAAGTTTAGGACTGCCGCTGTCAGAAGCTGAAACAGACAAAGAAGGACCTCCCCCTGCAGCCATACTGAATTCAGACTTCTAGCCTCTTGAACTGTGTAAGAAAATAAACTGCTGTTCTTTAAAGCCACCCACTTGTGATATTTCTGTTATAGCAACAGTAGCCAACTAAAAGACTCAGTTGAGGTTTTGAACTCCCACAAAGATAATACAGCCTCAGACAACCCTATACAGTATCACAATGAGCCAGAATAGACTAGAGCACTTAACAACAACAACAAAAGTGAAATTGGGGGAACAACAGTAAAGTTTAGCCACAAACTTGAATAAAGCAACCATACAAACACTAAATCATATACAAGTGCACAAACAAGAAAGCAAGGGCACTATGCAGAAAGAGCTGCCAACTGAATAAAACCACAGGTTCAATTAGCTGTATATGAAAAAGGCTTGCATTTTTATTCACTGAACTGGTGTGGCACTCTAGGGTAATCACTAGACTACTAAATAGAAGATCACCAGTTCAAACCCACCAGCTGTTTCTTAGAAACCCTATATAAGGTCATTATGAGTTGGAATCGACTAAATGGCACTTAACAACAACATACACATCACAATGACGAGCACAAAGTAAGTTCAGAATAATAACAGTTTATATGAAATAACAGGAATTACAGAGCGAGGGAAGACCTATTGTCAGGTGGTCTCAACTTGGTTCCAACTCATAATGACTCTGTGCACAACAATGAAACTGCTCAGTCCAGCCAGCCTCAAACAAGTGTTGTGTTCGAGTGCGTTGCTGCCACCACCATGCCAGTCCATCTCGTTGGAGGGCTTCCTCTTTTTTGCTGACCCTCCACTTTACCAAGCATGATGTCCTTCTCCAAGGACTGGTCCCTCCTGACAACATGCCCAAAGTATGAGAGATGGAGTCCTTGCCTCTAGTGCTGCTATAAAGAGCCATTCTGGCTGTACTTTTCCAACACAGACTGATTTCTTCTGGCAGTCCATGGTAACTCAGTATTCTCCTCCAACACCATAACTCAAATGCATCAAGTCTTCTATGGTCTTCCTTATTCACTGTTCAAATTTCACATGCATATATGAGTCTACTGAAAATACCAAGGCTTGGTCAGGTACATCTTAGTCCTGAAACTGACATCTGCTCTTGAACACTTCAAAGTGGTCTTGTGCAGCAGATTTGCCTAATGCAATACGTTGTTTGATTTCTTGACTGCTGCTTCCATGAGTGTTGACTGGAGCAAAATGAAGTATTTAGCAAATTCAATCTTTCCTACATTTATCATGATGTTACTTATAGGTACAGTTGTGAGGATTTTTTGTTCTCTACATTGAGATGCAATCTATATCGAAGGCTGTGGGCTTTGATCTTCAGTAAGTATCTCATGTCCTCTACTGTTGTTAAGTGCGATCATGTCGGTTCTGATTCACAGCGACCCTGTGTAGGATTTCGGAGGCTGTAATGTTTTTGTAGACTTCATTCTTCTTGGATCAACTATCAGCACCCATGGAAGCAAGAGTCAAGGAATCAATTATTGCATTAGGCAAATCTGCTGCACAAGACCTTTTTAAATTGTTGAAGAGCAAAGATGTCAATTTGAGGACTAAGATGTGCCTGACCCAATCCATGGTATTTTCAACAACCTCATATGCATGCGAAAGCTGGACAGTAAATAAGGAAAACCGTAGAAGATTTGATGCTTTTGAGTTATGGTGTTGGAGGAAAATATTGAAAGTGCCATGGGCTGCCAAAAGAACCAACAGATCTGTGTTGCAAGAAGTGCAGCCAGAGTGCTCCTTTGGAGACCAAGATGGCCTAACTTCGTCTCTCATACTTTGGACATGTCAGGAGAGACCAGTTGCTAGAGAAGGGTATCATGTTTGGTAAGGTGGAGGGTCAGAGAAAAAGAGGAAGACCCCCAACTAGATGGATTGGCAAAGTGGCAGCATCAATGGACTCAAGCGTGGCAACAATTGTACGGTTGGCCCAGGACCTGGCAATATTTCGTTCTGTTGCTGAGAGTCGGTACCGACTCAATGGCACCTAACAACAACAACAAATCTTTTTGTAGGAGCATCTTCCTCTCAAGGAGCAGTTGGCAGGCTTGAACTGCTGGTCTTATGAAGTCCAGTGTTTGTTTATCCTACAGAACCACCATGCTCCCTTCAAGTCCTCTGGAAATAAAGAAAGGAAATAAAAGGACTCAATGAGTACTTTTTTTTTTTTTTTTAATAAATGTTTTCTTGTGTATTGCGTGATAGTTTACATGGGGAACATCAGTTTTATATCCATTCTATCATAAATTGTTTCATTACCATAGTTACCATCCTGTCCATGCATCATCACCCAACCAAAGGGTATACTCTGGAAGCCTGTCTCCCCCCCCCCCCCCCCACTATGGACCCCAGCACACAGTCCCTTTCCATCTCTGGATCTCAAGTCCCCAGCCACTCCATCTCCTCACGTCATCTTCTCTGTCTCCATCTCAGACCTCACTGCTTCTCTGGGTGGGTTCCTGCTCTCCGCTCTTCTCCATTGATGGTTCCAGGGCCCTCTGCTCCTAGACTGAAAAGTTAATCACTCCTCTCCTTGCTATAAAATGTCCACCTTTACATTTCCAGTCCTCACTCAATGAGTACATTTTGATAAAGGGTGGGGGTGGGGAGAGCTTATAAAGGAAGAAAATAAGATTGCCATTAGACTTACCACCTGTCTTACAAGATCAAGAAGGCGTCAAGACAGTGTCAAGAGGAAGAGAGAAGGAATTTGAACTCAGTCATGTGATGGCACTCTGAGAAAGTTTACCACCCACACATTTTCTTGGAAAATTTTAAGGACATTGCGATAGGTAAGGTTTTGTTTCAACTTCGCTGGGTCAGATTTTTCAGTGGTTTGGCAGTTGAGCTGTAGCTATCCCTCTGATGTGATTATGATGTTTTAAGCCAATAAGAGGATTAAGGGTAGGGTGTTGTTGTTGTTCTTGTTCTTAGGTGCCATCCAGTCACTAACAGAACAAAACACTGCCTAGTCCTGTGACAACCTCACAATCATTGCTACATTAGAGACTATTGCTGCTGTCACTTGGCCAATCCATTTTATTCAGGGTCTTCCTCTTTTTCTCTGACCCTCCCTCCCCCTTATCAAACATGATCTCCTTCTTCAGGAACTGGTCCCTCCTGACAATATGTCAGAAGTATGAGAGACAAAGTCTGGCCATCCTGGCTTCCAAGGAGCACTCTGGCTGCACTTCATCCAACACAGTCAGAATGTGTTCTTTTGGCAGTACATGGTACTTTTAATATTCTCCTCCAACACCATAACTCAAATGCATCAATTTTTCTAAAGTCTTCCTTAGCTATTGTCACAGGCTTTCACAGGCACACCTTAGCCCTCAAGTTGACATCTTTGCTCTTGAACACTTTAAAGAGGTCTTGTGCAGCAAATTTGCCTAATGCAATACGTCATTTATTGACTACTGTTTCCATGAGTGTTGATCTGAACAAAATGACGTCTTTGACAGCTTCAATATTTCCTCCGTTTATGTGGATGTTGTTTATTGGTCCAGTGGTTTTTGTTTTCTTTACATTGAGGGGCAACCCATACTGAAGGCTTTGGTCTTTGATCTTCATCAGTAAGTATTTTAAATCCTCTTCACTTTCAGCAAGCAAGGTTGTATCATCTGCGTATCGCAGATGCCACATTTTTCTTCATGGAACCCAGCTTCTCGGATTGTGCTCAGCTTAAAGATTGAATATAGTGAAAGGATAAAACCCTAGAACAGTGTTAGGAAGGTGAAGGGGAAAACACCATTTTTACTTTCTGTCCTTCTGTCTTGTTGGATTTTTAAAGTAATGAGACCATATTAATTTGAATTTAAAATGTTTTGAATGGAAACAAACTGATTTTTCAACTGTTGGCCCTGGACATGTAACAGAATGTCAAAATCTGAGCCTAGGCTGGGATCTTGCTGTGTTTACTCGCTTTACGAGACTTTTTTCTTGTAAAGTAAGCAATATATGAAGCAAATACTATTTCATAGTGTTTCCCCAGATATGTGAAAGAAAGGAAGGGGACGATTCATTTACTGTTTATTTGCTATACACAAGGGAAACTGAGGGATGGAGGATGAGAGGTTACCTGGGCACCGTGCAGTTCATGCTCTGAAATCTCATCTTTCGGAAGCATTTCTAACACTGCAGTAACAGTACCTCATAGCAACATGTCAGAATCTTGTGGGTGAATAGAGAGGATTGTGATTCATGGAAAAATCTAAGGTGAAATGATGTCATAAGTGCAGATGAAAATCAGTTTGCAGCTACTGAAAGGGAAGAGGATCAGATCAAGTGTTTAAAACAGACAAAAAGAGCAAAGCAACAGGCTCAAAGAAATGACGTTTAAAGGATTCAACGTAGCTCCTGAATAGAAGTGCATGCGCAACGTGGTTTCATTAAGATGACTTCTCAGCGGCCTTTCCCTGCTGACGATGACTTCGGAATCTACTATGTCCTGTGAGCTGCTTGCTACCACAGCTTTCTAGATAAACTCAGTTCAGGGCAGGAGCTGACACCAAAGGAGCCAGAGGGCACCTTTCACATTTAGGCTTCCCCAGGTGTGACCCATAGAAGGTCCCCAAGAAGAAAGGGAAGACACATGCAATTTTTTGTTTGTTTGTTTGTTTTATGATTTATTGTGAATTATGTGATAGTATACATGGGAGAACATTAGTTTTACATTCATTCTATCGTATATCCTCTCATTGCCATGGTTACAATCCCCTCCATGTAATCCTTCCCCCGTGCCCCCCAGGTCTTCAGCACACAGTTGCTCTCCCTCTCTGAGTCTAGACTCTCCAGCTGCTCTATAGCTCCACATCATCATCTCTGGCTCCATTTCAGGCATCACTGCTTCTCTGGGTAGGGTCCTACTCTCTGCTCTTCTCCCTTGATGGTCCTAGGGACCTCTACTCCTAGACTGAAAAGTTAATCACTCCCCTCCTTGCTATAAAACATCCACCTTTACA